TGTGTTATTTGCATACTGCAGATTCCTAATAAACCTTCCTCTAACCCTGATGCCACATTGTTCTTCATATAAGCCAGCTTCTCTTATTATTTGCTCAGCATACAGATTGAATAAGGATGATGAGAGGATACAACTCTGATATCAGCAATGATATCCCTTGGTCCACATCCTCTTCTGAATCCAACCTGAACTTCTGGCAGTTCCCTGTCAATGCAATTATTTTTGGATGATCTTCAGCAAAATTTTACTTGTGGATGATATAATTCTGTAGTTTGAACATTCTGTTGGGTCACCTTCCTTTGGAAAAGGTACAAAATAAAAATATCTTCCCGTCAATTGGCCTGGTAGCCATCTTCCAAGTTTTCTGGGATAGACAAGTGAGTGCTTCCATGGGTACATCAGCTTGTTAAAGCATTGCAATGGGTATTCCATAAATTCCTGGAGCCTTGTTTTTGGCTCATGCTTGCAGTGCAGCTTGAACTTCTTTCAGCACCATTGGTTCTTGCTCATATGCTACCTCCTGAAACAACTTAAGTCGAAAATTGGTCAAATAAGTAAACAAGATGCATTGATAGTTATTGGGAATTTGAATGCAAAGTTGGAAACAAAAAGGAAGGAACCATCATTGGAAAATATTGTCTTGGTGATAGAAATGGAGCTGGAGTTTGCAGGATAGAACTTAGCAACACCAACAAATTGCTCATAGCAAATACCTTTATTCAACAACAAAAACGGCAACTATCCCCCTGGACTTCTCCAGATGAAAACATGGAAATCAAATGGACTCCATCTGTGAGAAGTCACGATGGAGAACCTCAATATTAGCAACTAAAACCAGGCCAGGGGACGACTGTGGAACAGACTATCAATTGCTCATATGTAAGTTCAGAATAAAGCTGGGGGGGAAACCCACAAACAAGTCCAGGAGAGGCAAACTATGACCTTGAGTATACCTGACCTGAATTTTGAGGACATCTCAAGAACAGATTTGATGTATTGACTCTGTAATGACAGAGGCCTGATGAGCTGTGGGGGGACATCAAAACCATCATTCGTGAAGAAAGCAAAAGACCATTAAAAAGAGAGGGAAGAAAGAAAAGATCAAAGTGGATATCAGAAGAGACTCTGAAACTTCCCTCTTTAACTTGCTACAGCAAACGGAAGAAAGGATAAACTCAAAGAGCTGAATAGAAATTTTCACAGGGCAGCCTGAGAAGACAAGGTCAAATATTATGATGAAATGTGCAAAGACCTAGAATTGGAAAACCCAAAGGGAAGAACATGCTCAGCATATCTTAAACTGAAAGAACTCTAGAAAAACTCCAAGCCTTGAGTTGCAATCTTGGAAGATTCTAAGGGGAAAATATTGAATGATGCAGGAAGCATCAAGAGAAGATGGAAGGAACACACAGAGTCCCTGTACCAAAAAGAACTAGTCAACACTCCACCATTTCAGGAGGTAGCTTCTGAGCAAGAACCAACGTTGCTGAAGGAAGAAGTTCAAGCTGCCCTGAAAGCATGAGCCACAAGCAAGGCTCCAGGAATTGATAGAATATTAATTGAAATGCTTCAGCTAGCTGATGAAGTCATGGAAGCACTCACTTGTTTATGACAGTAAATTTAGAAGAGAGTTACTTAGCCAATGACTGAAAGAGATCCATATTTGTACCCATTCCAAAGAAAGGTGATCCAACAGAATGCTCAAACTACAGGTTAATATCATTGATATCGTACACAAGTGTTAGTCTGGGCTGACTAGAGAAACAAATCCAGAGACACTCATATGTGTATAAGAGAGAGTTTTAAATCCAAGAGTAATTGTATATTAAGAAAATATCCTGGTCCAGTCCACATCAAGTCCTTAAGTTCAATATTAGCCCGTAAGTTCAATATTAGCCTATAGGTCCAATACTAGTCCAGAAATTCTTGCAGGAAGATCACAGGCCAGTGGGTGAAAAGTCTTGTGGAAGCATCTCAGTGCTGGTGTGGCTCTCCATGTGCTCCTCCAGCTCCAGGGCTCTGTCTGCCATCAGTATAGCTCCATGTGGCTTGTCAACTGAATGTGAAGCAGAGTGTGTGTGTCCTACCTTCAGGGAAGAAGACAGAAATTCCCAGAATCCTCAGGAAAAGGCCGTGCCCACACAGAGGCCTCATTGGCTATGACTGATTGACAGACCAGACTCCACCCTTTCATTCACGTTGACAAGAGATTATAGAACTGCCACAACAAGTAACATTTTCTTCTGGAGATTATCCAACAGCCATTGCAGCAGTCCATTGAAAAGAAACTACCAGAAGCTCAGGCCTGATTCAGAAGAAGATGTGGACCAAGGGATATCGTTGCTGATGTCAAATGGATCTTGGCCCAAAGCAGAGAATACCAGAAAGATGTTGACTTGTACTGTATTGAGTCTGTCAAGGCATTCAACTGTGCAGGTCATAATAAACTGTGGCTAACCGTGAGATGAATGGAATTCCAGAGCACTTCATGGTGCTCATGCGGAACTTGTACATGCGTCAAGAGGCAGTTGTGCGAGCAGAACAAGGGGATGGATATTGCCTGGTTTAACATCAGGAAAGATGTGCGGCAGAGCTGTATCCTCTCGTCATCCTTGCTCACTCTGTACATTGAGCAAATAATCTGAGCAAGATGTGTACCCGAGAAAAGAACATTTCATATGTCATTAAAACTTCTAGATTAAGAATACCAGACACTGAATGGCTCCACGTGAATGAAGGCTATTATTGTTCTCGTTAAGAGTCGTTGAGTGAGTTGCAACATTAAGCAAAACGGAATGAAGTCTAGTACGGCACAGTCTTTGCAACTGTTCCTAAGCCCATCGTTGCAGCCAGTCCATCTCCTTGAGGGTCTTCCTCTCGTTGGCTGCTCCCTTTTCCCGCACTTTCCCAAGCATGCTGTCCTGCTCCAAGGCCATGCCCTGACAACATGTCCAAAACAGGTACGAGGAAGTCGGTCAGCCTGGCTCTAAGGAGCACTCCTGATTCAAGGCACTGAAATAGATTTCTTCATCTCGGGCCTTCTCAGAGACTGCGTCTTGCTAATCTGCGTTGTGAAGTCCTCAGAAAGACGGTACCATTGTTTCCGTTTCCTATTTCCCCTCTCAGGACCTCCGTCTGGGCTAGTGTTCTGTGGAGAACCCGCTTCAGGAAGTATTAACTTACACAGTCTGCCAAGTGTCAAAGTACCCCTGACCCGGACCTATAGCTCTTGGGGCAGGTATTTTTCACTGAGAACAAAGTATCGAACAGGCTGGCAGTTGTCGAATAGTAGGCCTTGGCGTGCCGGAAGACGCAAACATTAGGCCTTATTAGACCTTATTTGTAGAAAGAAACAGAATAATTGGATTTTGTACTTGTTGCAAACACCCTTTTAGCAGAAGGGTGTTTGTCCCCGGATCCCAGGTGCTCATTGAGCTGCTGGATGCCCCCCTGGGCAGACCTCTCTTCCCCAGAGGGCTCCCCCATGCGTGGCTTCCATTGTGTGGCTGGTCCACGTTTTGTTTTCCCACACGGTGATGTGAGGTCACGGCTTCTGTGAGCTAAGGCGGAGCAGAGGAGGGGGGACTAGGGGGGTAGTGGTAGAAGGGGTAGCTGCGGGCAGCATCATGCTTTTGAAAGTTTCCGTTTCTTTCGCTCTCTCTTGACTTTTCGTGTCTCATTGCAGCCTTAGCAGTCTTGGGGCAGAGTGGTTAGGAGGGAGGCTCTGTTTGTTCCAGGGCAGCTGGTTAGAGACCACGCAGCTGGCTGGGCCTGCCCAGCTCTGAACAGGGGAGTGACCTCCTGCCAAGCACCCTGGAGTCTGACTGCTACAGGCTGAGTGATGTCACTTTTTTCTCCTGGGAACCTTCCTCTAAGCGACTCTCTTTGGGTTTGTCCAGGGAAATGACCACAGTGCAGATCAGCCCCCAGGGGACTCCTTCCCACTTGCTGGGGGATGTTTGGGGTGAGTGCAGTTTTGAAGAACAGGGGGAGACAAGCTCCCAACCTCTGCTCAGCATGGTGCCCTCTTGTGGTTGGCTTTCTCCCAGCTGTCTGCCCAGGTAACAAATGGATTCAGAGCCAGCCGCCAGCTGCTTCCAGGCATACTGAAGGAGGAACTTGACCAGGGAGGAAGAGACTCAACCCCTTCACCCTAACCCCTTCGCTCACCCATTCTGAGACTTTCTCCCTCTCGACCTCGAGTTCTTTCTGCCTACCTACCTGTTTGTCTTTCAGGACTCGACCTTCCCTGGAAGCCCCCATCTCTGCTGCCAGGGTTGGCTACTCTTCTGCAGTCCTGTAGCAATACTTGCCAACTGAGCACCAGGAGTTACCTCTGCTTTCCATACAGTTCCCTGCCCTATCTCTCTTCAGATGTACACCCCTGCCCCGCCCCTGGGTGACAGGTAGAGAGGGCTCAGCAGTGTCTGTTGATGTGAAGCTATTCCTTCTGCAGTGGGTGGTGGGTTTCAGGGCTTCTCGAAGCAGGGGTGTGTGTGTGTGTGTGTGTGTGTGTGTGTGTGTGTGTGTGTGTGTGCAGTGAGTGAAGTCCGACATGAACAGAGGTCTGGAGACAGTAAATGGAGCAGGGAGGACATGGAGCCCTGTATAGACACAGGCACATGGAGGGCTGGAGGCTCAGAGATTTGGTACTTTTTCTGGTACATTTTGTGTTGGGTTTGTAAGCCCAGGAGTTTGATAAGAATCTTGGTTTACTTTCTCTGCTTAATTAAGAAAAAAAAAACAATCTACCAACAATAAAATACCCCCCCCACACACACACATACACCACACGAACAATAACTAAATTCCACGTATTTCAGAAAGATGTAGGTTTTCCTTCGGCAGGCCCCTTCCAGACCTCGCCCTTGCTCTCTAGTATCCATGCATGCACAGGGACAAGCACTCTCTGTGGCGAACATGGGGTCGTGGGCGCAGAAGAAAGTCCAAGGTAAACATTACCTGAATGACAGTCCCCGATACTGTTTGGTGGCATTAAAAGGTTCGCCTGGTTTGGTGGCAATTCCAGTGCCAGCCTTTAAAAGCATACCAAAAGCCAAATTAAAATTAGCAGGCCATAGAAGAGGGAAGTTGTTAATAGACAGGGCTTCTAAAGAGGTGGACACCGATGTTCTTCCCCTGGTGTCTGGAGACCCGGGAGCTGGGCCTGCATCTAGGACTAACCCCTGCCCCCACCCCACCTGCTGCCCCACCCCCGCCCCCCACCAGGAACCTACAAGCCCGGCCCTTCACTTGGCTGAATTTCAGCCACCTCCTTAAGGACGGGAGGATGGTCCCCTGCCTGGGGGGAAGGCATGACTGATCCTGCCTAACCGTCAGCCTTCATCTGTAACATGGAACTGGTGGAATCCACTTTACTGTGCCTTCTGAGGAGGCTAAAAAGCACTGCGGTTGAGCCAATTCCAACTCATAGTGACCTTGCAGAACAGAGTAGATTTTCCAAGGCCACAATTCTTTATGAAGCCGACTGCCTCATTGCTCTCCCAAGGAGCAGCTGGTGAGTTCGAACAGCTGACCTGTGACTTAGCAGCCCAAGACTTAACGCACTATGAGCAGGGCTCCTTTGGAGGAGAATAGGAGAGGCAATGCACAGGCGTGGCTCAGCACCTAGCAAACAGGGCTCCCTCAGCAAGAAGTCAACTCTTAATTTTGAAAAATCACTCCGTACTGTACGTTTTTAAAATTGCTGCCCAGATGGCACCCTTAGGCAAGTCCCTCTTAAGAATTGCTCAACACGGCAAAAGACTAAACGTGGAGGGGGTTAGTGGGGGAGGGAGTTGCTGAACTTTATTTTCTCCCCATGTTATATGTCTGACCCAAGGGTTATGCCTTTAAAGAACCGTTTGGCTTCAAAACATGGAGCACGGAGGTGGCAGGAGGCAGTCTGGAAGACCTGCCTGTGATTTACTTATTTTTGCCTGTAATTTCTTAGGGGAGGTGGCCAAGGCCTTAGAAGCCATGCAGACGAGGCTGTTTGCCGCCCCACCACCCCAGCATCTTGCACACACACCCCTCCCCCCCACCCCCAGAATAGGTGGACGGTGCCTCTGCTGTCCACGGCAGGCCACAGGACCTGGTCCAGCCGCCACCACCCACACCAGAGCCCAAGAGTCCTTACAGTGAGAGAATCGCCGAGAGCAGCCACCACTTTAATGTCTGCAGGTCTCAGGGCATTCACTGGAAAGACAAAAGGACACACGTGGTGCTTCCGGTTGGAGCAAGAACAGAAATGAGACCCGAGGGTGCGTTTGGGCCTTGCAGGGATGAGACCAGGGCGCAGGGGGGCAGTGTTGTGTGGAGATAGATGGGGGCATCAGAGAGTCAACTGATTCCAGGCCTGTGTAGTGGGGACGAGGGCTAAGCAAAGTGGGCTAGGGGAAGGAGAGAGGAGGTGGAGAGAGGAGGAGAACTGGGGAGACAGGAACTGGGGAGTTCCTCTAGAACTCAGTACTGGAGGAAAAAGAAGGGCGCCATGGAAGGGTCTTCCTCAGTCCAGGGAACACTAGGGCCCCACCCCTTTGGCCCCTCATGTGGGCCAGCTGTGGTGGAGTGCAGATGGGCATTGGACCATGGGGGTTGGAGCCAATCAGAGCAAGAATCTGGGGAGTCCTCATATCAGGCCTTCCCTGTCCCCAAGCCTCCCCTGAAGGGCCCAGGGGATTTTCCAGGCGCCCCTGCTGACCAGGGCTCCGGGACTGAGACCACAGACCCTGGGCCACAAAAGCAGCTCGGTGGGAGGTGGGCCCTGCACTGTGGGGCTCCCTCCAACAGGCAGAGGCAGGGGGGCTGCATGTAGCTCCTGGGCTGGACCACTGGGGCCTGATGGGCCTGCTAAGGCTGCAGGGTAGAGAGGGACTTGTACCAGGAGACCGCCCCAGGTAGGAAACCAGCACAGGGACTAAATATATCCTATAATTTGCATATCGAAGAACTCCTGGTCTGTCATAAGGGGCTTACCTGAGGTGGGAGGAGAGGGCGAGGGCGCTCTGTCCATACACGGTACCAAGGTTCCATGAGACTATGGGTATAGAACAACCCCCCAAATCTCAGGGTTAAAGGGGACAGAGAGGGTAGCTGGACACCAGGCTTATCCAGGGAGCTTAAAATCACACAGTGCCTGATTCCCACCCCTAAAAACAGTATTTTCAAAAAATTCTCTAGGTGTTTTTTTTTTTAATATTCTAAACCTAAAAATCAAAACAAAAGAGCCAAAAAAAAACCCCAACCCATGGCCATTAAGTTGATTCCAACTTAGTAGCCCTCTAAGCAGAACTGCCCCCCGCCCCTCCCCAGCCCCCGCCCCCGTAAAGTCTCTAAGACAGTAAATCTTTATGGAAGCAGACTGCTTCCACTGCCTGCTGCAGAGCCACCTGGTGGGCCTAAACCACCAACCCTTTGGTTGACAGCCCAGTATCATAACCACTGGGCAAGCAGGTCTCTCCTGAGTATCAGTCAGGTTGAAGTTGAATCTAGTTTGGACCCCTCGGTCACCCAAGGAAATCACGGCCCCGTTCCCTTGATCCTTAACCAACACGCTCAGTTTTGTAAAGTACATCGTTAGCTGCATGTCCTCATGTGTCTGCTCTGAAGCTTTGATTCGACTGACCCCAATCCCGGACGCCAACAGTGGGGTTTGCTCTCTACCCTGTCCCTAGTAGCTCAAGTCTAATGGATGGCCTTTATAATAAAAGAGTGGGGTTGGGGGGGAGCCCTCCTTGGGAGAGCCCCTCAGGAACTCTCCCTCTCTTTCCCTCAGGCCCTGCTGGGACCTTCCCACCCAGAACTGGCCACCGCATTCCCCAGTGCGCCCAGAGGGAGCCACATGCCATACCCGCAGGTTCTTGTAGGTGCTCAGAAATGGCCAGGCCTGTGAGAAGGGGGTGGGGGTGGGGGTGGGGTGAGACACGTGGAAATCCAGCACATTCCCCACATGGTTCCCCTGCTCGCCAGCCTTCCACACGCACTGACCGGGTCCTAGGACAGCCTCGGCCTCCCTTGCCCCACACCCCCAAGCTCAGACCCTCCAGGACACACTGGTGCGTTCTCAGCAGCCAGAGCCCAGCAGGGCTCCCCAGGAACACACAGGCTGATTATGCCCATTGGGAACCCCCGTCACCTCCGGTTCTCCCCTGGGCCTGTCCTAGCAGTGCACCCACTCTCTGCTGATGAAGCTCAGGGCTCCACTGCTGTCTGGTCTCTGCTCCCCCCTCTCTTTCCCCACCCCCAGGTTGTGTGGGCTCCTTCTCGTCCAGAGGAGAGGGCTCAGCTCCACACAAGCCCGGCAGAGTGGTTCCCAGTGTCAGGCTCGGGCCCTCTGGGGACACAGAGGACTTCACAGAGTGGAGGGTGGCAGCTGCACGGCCCCCAGAACCTGACAAGTGTGGTCACGTTCTACCCCCACTTCCAGGTTTGGGTCTTAGAAATGCCCTGACTCCGACCCCTCCTCTGCTCCCTGGCTCTCCTCCCCACTCAGTGGGATCTCCTTCTGGGGCCCCACTCTGGATGCGCCCATGCTGCCAGGGAGGCAGGGCTATGGGAACCCAGGGCCTTCTCCCGTCTCAGGAAGCCTTCAGTGTGGAGCTGGAGGCTGCGGCCTCGTTGCCTCCCTGCCCTGAAAGAGCGACGTCCAGCCCGGGGCTCCCTGTCACGCAGAGGCTGAGGGGAGTCACGGGGCCTCCTCCCTCTCAGGGCGGAGAGGGACGGGGTCAGAGCCTGGGGTGGAGTGAGCCCAGCAGACTTGCAGAGAGCAGAGCCCTGGGAGAGATGCTCTAGGTGGTCTGCCACAGGGAGGCTTCACGCTACCTGATCTGGACACGTGAGGTTGACCTTGATTTCAAACTCTTGCCATGAGGTCTTCTGGTTGATGGGCTCCAGCTAAACCAAGAAGCAGGGGGAAGGGCGTGAGACCGTGGAGGCAGGAGCTGAAAGTCAGGTGCAGGTCGCTGGGGGCCAGGGAGGGAGGGACAGAGGGGGTGGGATTGATTTGTATTGTTCTCACCATGTTGTTCCACAGGCCTCTGGCAGCGCGGGCGTGCGCCTTGGCACTGAAGTGGAAGCAGTCAGGGGCGAAGAAAGAAGTGTCCGGCGACCCCGCCTGGTCACAGGGCAGAAAAGGGGGGCAGTGTCACCAAGGTGTGGGACGGCACACGTGGTCTTGTGGCACCGCTGTGGGCTCTGGGCTACTGCCAGGCTTTTCTTTCTTTACCGTGGTCTTGGGCATGGCCACGTTTTCCAGGAAGGGCTGCACCACTACCGTGAAATCGTCCCTGGTGTCGTACCGCCCACTCTCCACCAGCAGGTGGCTCTCCTCCTGAGGGAGGCAAAGGGACAGGGTCAGGGCGCAGGTGCAGGGACAAGGACACAGAGGAGGGGACAGAGGGGAGGCCTGCAGCTGTGGGGCTCCAAGGATCGGACAAGTGGCTGAGTGGAAACGGGGCTCTTGTTCTGCTTCGCCTTGGTGGGCTTTCTACCCGCTCCTTCCTGGGCTCTTTCTCAGGCACAAGACAGAGTCTGGTCTTTGATGGCATGACTCTTCAGCCAAACTTCAAATGATTAGGATCCAGATGGTTGATACATACACATATTCATGTATATAACAAACATATAATTATACATATTCATATATATATATATATATAATCTCCACCTTTATCTGCACACCTGCCCTGGATCCTTGCTTCAACTGTATGCATATAATGGGCCTGTGTCAACAGGAAGGTAAGGTAAAGCCTAAAGCTACCAGTTTGCCCTTTTTTAAAGCTCCTGTGATTACATCGGTGAGGGGGAATTATGTGATTAAATGACATTCTGGATAACTATCACACATTAAATTATGTCTCCTCCCTACCTCTCTTCTCACCAAAAATATAACCAGAATCCAAACTCATGGCCATGGAGTCAGTGGTGACTCACAGTGACCCCCTGTGGGTTTCTGAGAGTGCACCTGCTTACAGGAGTAGAAAGCTCGGTCTTCCTCCCGCAGAGCTGCTGGTGGTTTTGAACTGTGGATCAAGGGGACCGCAGCCCAACATGTCACCACTAAACCACCAGCACTCCCCGCTCAAAATATAGGGTATACATTCAACACACTCTCTGCCTGAGGTTCTAATAATTCCATTTGGGAGTGGGCTGTCTTCGTTATGCTAATGAGGTCATGGTACTGTAGGGTGTGTCTTAAATCAATCTCTTCTCAGGACAAAACCAAACCAAAC